TATATATATGTATATATGTATATATATGTATATGTATATATATATGTATATATGTATATGTATATATGTATGTGTATATATATATATATATATGTATATGTATGTATATATATGTATATATATATATATATGTATGTATATATATATGTATATATATATGTATGTATATATATGTATGTATATATATATGTATGTATATATATATGTATGTATATATATATATGTATATGTATGTATATATGTATATGTATGTATATATGTATATATATATGTATATGTATGTATATATATATATATATATATATATATATATATATATATATAGTAGTGAACTAAGCCTCAGATCAAGTCCTGGCCTTTAGGGCCTTCCTGGGACAAGAACTGTATTTCATTGATTTGAGTCCAGAAACACAAGATTAAGTTCATCCAGAGACTTCCTAAGTGTCCTGCACTGATCAATTGAAAGAACACTCTCTTTTTCATTATCATTACTATTTTACAAATGTTTTGATAATCAAAGTGTGTTTAGTTCAGACCATTTTAAATGTTGAAGTGAACTACTCATTTTTAATCAACTGTGAAACAGTATTAGTGATTTTTTAATCCTCATTCGGGGTAGAGATCAGGTTGGAATGTGTTACGGAGTAATTCATGCATTTTCTGATCTTCTGTCTGAAACGAGCAAGTTGTGTTGTCGGTCAAAGGTCGAAGACAAGTTGTTGGAACGAACTGTCATGTTTTTATATCCTCTCAGACGTAAATAGAGAGGCTGGCACCTGTTTTCCCCCAACTCGCCTAAACATTTCTCTCGTCTGTCTCAAAACATCTTCTGTCCGTTCCAAAACAATTTTTCTGTTCTTCTGACTTTTAATAACCTCTTACATCACTAAAGCACACCCCTGTCTGGTCGATCGACCAATCAGGAACTTCCCAAATGAACCGGAAATAGAACTCTTTAAATGTCGGCACTTCCTAGTTCAAACCAGTCGAGTTGCGGTCGAGTGCAGTCGAGTTCAGTTCGGAGAGCAAACCGAACACAAGAAGTGCTGGGGAGAACAGGAGTTCCAGACATGATCCGGAGTTCTTCAGAGTCTCTTGGGAATTATGCAATCTTCTACATCTGAGTGGAACTCTGACGGACTTACAACTCATGTGAGTCCAACCGGGAGGTGAACCTGTGTCGGACGGAATACCGTCGCTACTTCGGACGATTCACAGCTGTTCCTACGGAGACGCTGAAAGGGTGCGTTAAATGGAACTCCGTACCAGTGGAGACACCTTCTACAGGTAAAGAGTCGATTTATACTACCTAAGTGTACCGAGGAGGAAGCTGGGATCTTAACGGAGAGTGCCGTTCTGATACCGACACATTTCCCTCATCCATCCTTTCTCTCCATTTAAACTTCATTTCCATCTTTAAACTCTTATATCTTGCCAGTGAACATCCAGATATTTTCAGAAATGTCTGTTGTAATGCTTGAAATGGGGAAATCATGGCCGTATGGTTTCCTCCTTGTAAAACTTGCTAATTAATTATGTTGTTGTTGAAATCAATTTGCCAAATTAATGTAAATGTTTGATGTTAAACTTTGATTCTGTTAATAAATGACCGCATTCATTTGATGGGTCAAAGAAAATTAACGCCTCACGTTACATTTTAATTTCAATGCACGATATTATTCAGTCCAGAAAAATGAATGAATCCGTTTAATTTATGGATAATATATCACAGATATATGTTCCTC